ATTAATCCCGAAGGAAATTAGGGTACAAATACGGTAAATATAAGAGAAAAAGAGAACTTTAATACAGCCACTACAGTGACCGTCAAAACCATGAAAAAATAGTACTGTAAACGGTTTATTTTGTAACACCACGAAACAAACGATAGCATATAATATGAAATGATAGATGTTTTCATATCATCATCCAATATATATTGTCATATCGAACAGCCCTATTGTGCAGATCTCTGCAGGTGTGGTGATATTGAACAGCTTGTTATGTGTCTCCTCTTCTGGCTGCGTTCATCTGTTTTTCAGCTGCTCATCACTGCTGTTGTCTATTTTTCATTTTGCTTATTAAAATCCAGCCGTACTCGATTTGACGCTGTGTATCTGTTCTGGTTTTTTGCAGCAGCGAAACAAATCTGCAGCTCAGCGTGTCATTACTGAAAATAAAGTGACTAACAGCCTCACAGACTCAAAACACATAATAAACAGCAGTGGGGAGTCTATCGTCCACTGAGGAGTATGAAAACAAATATTTTTCCACAGTTTCTGTCTGACATCGGGTAGCTGCAGTGTGACTGATTTTATTAGCATCTGCTGCTGATCACAGTCTTCTTACTTTGACTGCTATAGTCCCTAAGACTTGACAGTCTGGTTCTTACACTTTCTGAGCTGCCATATGAGTGCTCAATAGGACAGTAAAATAAACACAGAATAATCACTAAGATAAATCTCACAACTAGTCAGGAGAACGTCACACATGTGATTGCGCATGTCAGTATAGTCAAGCACTCTAAAAGATGCCTGTTAGACGGATAGATAATTTATCTTTGTGGTGTTGTGTCGACTACTCACAATATCAAACAGATTCATCAGCTTTTATAAAATTAAGGCTATTAGTGGTCTTTAGCTGTGTTTGATTCTGAGTGTGTGTGTGTGTGTGTGTGTGTGTGTGTGTGTGTGTGTGTGAGTGTGTGAGTGAGTGTGTGAGTGAGTGTGTGTGAGTGTGAGAGAGAGAGACTGAGAAGATTTCTCAAAGGCATTAGTTAATTTTCTTCCCACAATCCCTTGCTCCTCTGAGCCAGTCCTGTGTGTGCAGCTGTTATGTGTTTGCTACGATGCGTAGGGTTGGCTTCCAGGCCCCTCTTCTCTGGACACCCTCTCTTCTTTTAAGATGAGGCTTCATTTTTTGCTAAAGCATATAATTAGGGTTGGATCAGGTGACCCTGGCCCTCTCTTAGTTATACTGCAACAGGCTCAGGCTGAAAGACTTTCCATTATGAGAGTTTCTTCTTCACTCTCCTTTTTCTCTCCCCAGGTGTTTATATACAACTGTCATGATCCTTTATCTTCTCTCTGTGACAAAATCATTTTTTAAATTTTTTTTTAAAGAAGTCATGGAAAGCAGTCAGTGTTCACCATTCACATTTTTTAGATTCCAGTCTGAGTTTAGACCATCAGAGAGCAGAAGTGGATGCTGAGCTCTCAGCTTGTATATTCTTGGGCTGTTGAATCATTGGTCACTGAGGCAACTGATGTGGCTGTACGTTAGTCCTATCGAGAGCATCTAATTCAATTCAATTCAATTTTATTTATATAGCGCCAAATCACAACATAAGTCGCCTCAAGGCGCTTCATAGATACAGAGAAAAACCCAACAATCATATGACCCCCTATGAGCAGCACTTTGGCGACAGTGGGAAGGAAAAACTCCCTTTTAACAGGAAGAAACCTCCGGCAGAACCAGGCTCAGGGAGGGGCGGGGCCATCTGCTGTGATTGGTTGGGGTGAGAGAAGGAAGACAGGATAAAGACATGCTGTGGAAGAGAGAGTGATTTTGATTGGCTGCCGTGCAAAATAAGTCAAGACAGGTCGATCCTAGATAATCGATTGCTTGTGTGGACTTGGAGCAGCCAGGTATCCCATAATGCAGGGCTGCCCAATCCCAGTCCTCGAGAGCTACTATCCTGCAGCTTTTAGATGCATCCCTACTCCAACACAGCTGAATCAAATGGTTTGATTACCTCTTCAGCATGCCATCTGTTTGGCAAAGGCCTGATAACAAGCCATTCATTTGATTCAGGTGTGTGGGAACAAGGATGCATCTAAAAGCTGCAGGACGGTAGCTCTCGAGGACCGGGATTGGGCAGCCCCCAGAATGCATTTCAAATCACAGGCAGCAATGGTGGTGGTGTAGTTTTAAAATACCCCGTTTTTCTGTCACCAACTACACTTTTAACAGTGTTTTAGCCGCGAATGTCGCGCCGTAATCTTCACGTCTGGTCAGGTTGTCAACATAGAACATGTTTGCAAAAGTGCTCAGATGTTTTCAGAGATGTCACTCGCTCTGCTAACAGTCAGCTGACAGAGAGCACCGAGCTTCTCCTCATAAATGAAATGGTGAAGCATTAATTTAACCCCTAAAGGGGCTACACCTTCAAGTATATCATGCATGATATCAACATTTATGTTTTCTGTTACATGAAAATACCGAAGACAGGAGTCCTCTTTCACACTTGCTTGGTTCGTTTAGGCTGACATGTTCCTGATAACTGTCTTTGGTGTGCAACTCAACTTTGTCTTCATCATATATCAGCTGTGCATCTGCTTTGTCAATCATGCAAAACTGACAACACAGCTGAAAGACGCGGCACTGTAATGAGCTGCTTTACATTTTATAAAAGCTGATGAATCTGTTATTTTGCACACAGCAGCAGAAACAGTGAAACATCTGAGACTGACTAACACTGGTACACATTTGACTTCCCTAAACTTTTTTGAATTATTATGTGATTTTCTTTTTTCTTTTTGAGGGACTATAGCAGTCAAAGTAAGAAGACTGTGATCAGCAGCAGATGCTAATAAAATCAGTCACACTGCAGCTACCCGATGTCAGACAGAAACTGTGGAAAAATATTTGTTTTCATACTCCTCAGTGGACGATAGACTCCCCACTGCTGTTTATTATCTGTTTTGAGTCTGTGAGGCTGTTAGTCACTTTATTTTCAGTAATGACACGCTGAGCTGCAGATTTGTTTCGCTGCTGCAAAAAACCAGAACAGATACACAGCGTCAAATCGAGTACGGCTGGATTTTAATAAGCAAAATGAAAAATAGACAACAGCAGTGATGAGCAGCTGAAAAACAGATGAACGCAGCCAGAAGAGGAGACACATAACAAGCTGTTCAATATCACCACACCTGCAGAGATCTGCACAATAGGGCTGTTCGATATGACAATATATATTGGATGATGATATGAAAACATCTATCATTTCATATTATATGCTATCGTTTGTTTCGTGGTGTTACAAAATAAACCGTTTACAGTACTATTTTTTCATGGTTTTGACGGTCACTGTAGTGGCTGTATTAAAGTTCTCTTTTTCTCTTATATTTACCGTATTTGTACCCTAATTTCCTTCGGGATTAATAAAGTATTCTGATTCTGATTTCCCAGACTACAGAGCGCACCTGAATATTAGCCGCACAAGCTAAAATCAGGGGAAAATCCTGGTTTGTACATACATTAGCTGCACCTGACTAAAAGCCGCAGGTGTTTCAATGTTGACTCATCATATGTAAGAGAATATGCACACAAAGCGAATTGTCAGGAAACAGACGGCTGTTTGGAGACATCACTTTTATTAATATTTTGAAAAACAAGTTACGGGCACATATTTGCATAACTTTTTAGGTATATGTACAAGTAGGAAACATGTACTGTGCTTCATAAATGAGTAACAAATGTAGTACATAACAATAACCTGCAGCACACCAGAAAAATAGATCCGGACTACCTTTCAGGCTCAGGTGCAGTGACACAGCTTTAACAAGAAGAAAAGTCAGTCATTCACCATCTTTCTCTTCTTCCTGCGCACTGAAACCACCAAAGTCCTCTCCTCCAGTGTCGGATACGAACAGGCTCAGGGTGGCTTCGTCATCCACTCTCAGCTTCTCTCCTTCGTTGTCACTTTCAAAACCAAACAAATCCTCGTTGTCAGTGTCAGAGTCGAACACCCTCTGAAGGGCCGTGGCGGTGTCCTCCTCTCCATCATGCAGCAGTCCAGCCCTTCGAAATCCGTTGGTGATCGTGGATGTTTTCACACTTTTCCACGCTGTCAGAATCCACCGGTGGAGTTGAGCATAACTTGCTTTTCACAAGTTTATCGCCGCTCGTCATCCACGCCTCCCGCTGAACGCGTAGCGCTACTTTGAAGTTTGTTTTTCGCGCTACTTGTACGGTACTATAACCACACTACGGATAGACAAGTGAGTCTTTTTATGCGCTGTCATTAGCAACAATGACGGTAAGACCATTGTGTGGCTCCACCATCCTCTTGTTTATTTTCCACATAAACCTTTCACAATAAAGCTCAAGATCCTGTTAAGATTTTCCAAATAAACTGAAATGGTGACAAACAGAAGGACCAGTCAAAACAAATCGAGGACCTTATTCCTAAACGAGGGCCTACCTCTGTAGCATGGACATGATTTGTTTATGAAAAGTCTGAGGCAGACCAGAAAATTGAGCTATGCAAATTATGGTGCAAACTGGCCTCAGCCTCTTGTACCACCTATGAAAGAAAAAAACCCACTCGACTCCAGGTAAACGACGTCCAGCTGAAAACACTTCACATGAGTCGAGCTGGCCGAGATTCAGCGAATTAGCAGGAAATGTCAAATTTTTGTGATATATATCGTTGTCAGGACGATAAATGTCTTATATAGGGATATGAGATTTTGGTCATATCGCACAGCCCTACTGCACAATCAGAATCACAGCATGGAACCAGAACCTGAACTTGCTATGGTGTCACAACCAGATCCTGTTATCAATAGATTATACGATTATCTTATTTGATTTACTCTGACTGCAGACAGGAAACACACAGCATTGTAAACAGGAAGTGGCTTTACCACGTGATCCATATACAGCTTATGAAATTAGCGAAAGCAGCAATTGTGACTCCACCAACACACTAATTACACAATGAGGATCAAATCAGACTCACCTGATGGAGGAAGAGCTGTGGGGAGAGGGAGAGGAGACAAAGACAGGAGGTGTAGTGGGAGCGAGGAGGAAGAAGAGTCTTCAGGTTCGACATCTCTTGTCTTTGTGTTGTCTCTCCTGATGTGATCTGCACACAGAATAAGAAATGGATGCTTCTGATCTTCATCAGTGTACTGAAGAATATTTCACGAAGCCTAAAACCTGAGTGTCCACATGTCTTCTGCTCTTTCTGCTTAGTAAATAGATTTTATTCAAGCTCGACAGGAACAGCTGAGAAGAGTTTGTATGTATGAGTTCAAATGCTGAACTGATTTCCAATGAATAAAAAAGAGGGTTGACAGTGAGGGTGTAAGCAGTCACTTCAGATTAAACATCCATCCATCTTCTTCCGCTTATCCAGGGCCGGGTCGCCCAAGCAGAGAAGCCCAGACCTCCCTCTCCCCAGCCACCTCCTCCAGCTTGTACGGGGGAACACCAAGGCGTTCCCAGGCCAGCCGAGAGATATAATCTCTCCAGCGTGTCCTGGGTCTGCCCCGGGGCCTCCTCCCGGTGGGACATGCCCGGAAAACCTCGCCCAGGAGGCGCCCAGGAGGCATCCTTGTCAGATGCCCGAACCACCTCAGCTGACTCCTTTCGATGTGGAGCAGCAGCTCTACTCTGAGCCCCTCCCGGATGGTCGAACTTCTCACCCTATCTCTAAGGGAGAGGCCAGCCACCCTTCGGAGGAAGCTCATATATTGTAAGGTAGACCCTACAATAATACTTCTTAGCACAACAACACCCTGAATCTAAACTGATAAATCAAAAGAACTAGTCGCATGAAAAACAAATGAATAAATTTCAGATTGATACCGGCTTCAATGAAGTAAACAATCATGGAAATAATTAGAGAGAAATCTGTCATCACTGAGGCTCCATATGGAAACCCCCGCAATCAGCCATTATAAGTGGCTGATATCATTGTGGCTTAACTGAAGTTTCATGTAGTTACACTTTTAATGAAGATCTGTGTGCTTGTGGCATAGTTATATTTCAGCAGATCAGTCCGCCTCCACGAGTTTGCGCTCCTTTCAGGAAAACGCTGACCTAAATCTGTTGACGGCAGCACCATTGCAGCGACAATAAAACATCTGTGGAAGGATATTTGATGCAGCACAATGCTCACAAGATACCAACCCCCATGTTGCTCTCCGATGCATCCACCGGAGTATGAATGTGTGTGACTGTTAGATTGTAAGCACTTAGAGACAACATAGACAAAAAAGTGCTGGTGTGAATGGGTGAATGGTGAGTGCTCAGCCAGAGTAGAAAAGTGCTAGATAAGAACCAGTCCATTTACAGTCCAATGAATGATAAGGTTAGAAATTATTTTAACAGCACATGCTCACTGTTGCAGACATTACATTTTTTAATTTTCAGCTGTTTTTCATTTCCTCTCCACATTCAGCAGAGCAGAATTTCCTGCGGAGGTTTCCATCTGTGAGCATGTTGTGTCAATCTGAGACAAATCAATCTTGACAAACTATAAACTGAAGAGAAACCGAGCTCCTGCCAGAAAACATCAACAACACGAACACACACCCACGTTTGACTAAATAAAAGCAAATTTAATCTGCATTTGTTGGCTTCCAAAAGCCTCTGACTGCATCTGAACATCGTCTCAAACAAATTAACTCAGAGGATTTAGACAAGAGAAACACATCTGTGTCTATTTCAGTGATGCAGACTCAGGCTGCAGTCAGTCAATAACCTGTTCCTGCACCCCTGAGTTTATTCTTTAAGGCAGCAGCTGTTCTCAGGAAGCTCCTCACAAACAGCAGATAAAAATATAAAGACACAACAAAGACCTCTTAAAATGTCAATGCAACAAACCATCTGCAGATGATGATGCTACAAGTTGCAGGAAGAAATTTCAGCAGGAGATGATGTAGAAACATAATGCCACATTATACAATAAAAGAGGGACATTAACAACTCAGTATTCATTTGAAAAGTGCAACGCAATAACGTAAAAAACTGCACCACAGGTGAAAGTTGTACAATTTTGATATTACTTCATTCAGAATATTTATGAATTCTGTTCTCTTGGCCTGAGCTGTGTCAGACTTAAAAAGTTTCCTGGCCTTTCTTTTTTACTAACTTTTGCTAAATAATTTTCCTGGTGCTGGGGTTTCGGAAGTAGCCGGTAAGATCCCAGAGGTTATAAAGAACCAACCCAAGTTGAACCAGTCTATTTGGGGACAAATGATATCTGATATCAAAAGACGGAGGGGGTTGGTTTCGTCCACCTACACGGCTTGATTGCCTGGATGTCATCAGTCTGTAGAGACTACAAGGTGGCTATTATAAATAACATTAACTTGCTTCTGGAGCACAGAGGGCTTTACTGGAGGGATGGTATATGGATGGTATGGTAACATAACCAAGTTGGTTCCTGCATGTTGATGGCAAACATATCTTATGGTTTACAGCAGCGGTCCCCAACCTTTTTTGCGCCACGGACCGGTTTATGTCCGACAATATTTTCACGGACCGGCCTTTAAGGTGTCGCGGATAAATACAACGAAATAAAACCAGTACCGGTACAAAAAGAAAAAAGATGTGTTCATAACACAGGAAAAGACCCATGGAAACCCTGAAAATGTGAATTTCACACCCAAGCCTCAACTCTCGCAGCCCGGTACCAAACGACTCACGGACTGGTACTGGTCCGTGGCCCGGGGGTTGGGGACCGCTGGTTTATAGCACTCACATGTTCCGCCTTTCTCTGGGTTATATATAACAAGGGTTATATTGACTAATCAATCACAGCGCTAATCCTTTGGGTGACTGGTGCAGCTGTATGTGTCCAAGCCATTCTCAAACCATAACCCACTTACAATAGGCATGGACCTGCAAATTCAGACTTTACTTATTTTGGCTGAATTGTGGCAATAAACACCCAACTCAAACCACCAGGAGACTGTGTCTGGGCCCAGACCACCTAAACAAGAAAACAAACAAAGCCGTTTTCAACTGTACCAGGACAGTTAAATGTATCAGACATTAGACCTCTCTCTTCTAAGTCCTATTAGTAAATGATTTAACAAAAAGTACAGGCTGAGTTGAAGGCTGAGTGAATCTTTCACTCCAGCTTATTAATTAGCCAAAGACCGACACACAGTTTTACTTCAAAGCCTCAATCTTAGGGTGTTTAGTCCATAATACTCTGGTTGCTTTCTGGTTCATTCATTCATCGTACTCTGGTTCACCCTGTATATTACTCTTTTGTGCAGATGCGAACACAATATGCGCACTCGAGTGTGGCCTAAAACAACTGCACCAACACCCTTTGGTGGAGGTGATTTTGGTGCGGTTCCAAATGAAGTCCAGAGGGGTTCATTCATGGTGTACATGTGATCTGAGCTGAACCAACTACCATGTGTACGCTGCAAGTTTGAGTTAAAAAACTTCCAGTAGCCACGTCTGCTTTGTTACTATAGATATGCAAAGGTCTGTACAGGCTAGCAACTAGCCACAAAGTAAATCCTGTAAGTTCTCCAATAGTCATAAAGACAACACCTTCTTCTTCAGTTTAGTTTATTTTTTTCATGTAAACAAACTAAAGCTACAAGTTTACAAACCTGTCAACTGATTTGTAAGTAAATGGACGATAATGCCTTAAGCCCCACCACGCTAAGTGCGACACAGATGAGCTGTGTGTTTAGGCTGATAAAAAGTCCAAAAGACAAAACAGAAATCCAGTTAGCTAATGAGTTACATAGTCTACAGGGGAAAATGAAACCACATACAAAGGCACACATGGAAACGGGTAACACTAGGGCATGCAAGCAGATATTTGGACCAGATAGCAACTGAACATACACAAAGGGGTGTTTGCAGCAGAGAGGAAACACCTGGGAAACACAGGTGAGATAAATACCAACAGAGACTAACCCAAAGTAAGAAATAAAGAAACACAAAACGGCACATTCTAACATACAAACTTGATAATTGAATAAAAATAACAACGGGAGGTGAGGTACACTAAATCAAAAACTCAGGTACTTAAATGTAAACTTTAACATGAACAGAATCCAAAAGCTATACCAATACTAAGAAGACCTTGGACTATCAACACGAATAAACCAACCAGAAACTGCTAAAAGGAAAAAAGAAAAGAAAAACAGAGAAAAAGGAAAAGAATACAACAAGACCAAACACAAACTCCCATGGTTCATTACTCATTTAGAAGATCATTTAGCCTGGAGAAATAGTTTGCTGCTTTATAAGAAAGCCCTCCGCAAAGCCAGAACATCTTACTATTCATCACTGACTGAAGTAAATAAGAACAACCCCAGGTTCCTCTTCAGCTCTGTAGCCAGGCTGGCAAACAGTCAGAGCTCTGTTGAGCCAACCATCCCTTTAACGTTAACTAGTAATGACTTCATGAACTTCTTCACAAATAAAGTTTTTATCATTAGAGATAATTCTGAGAAGCTTCTTCAGTTCAGAACTGAAGAAGCTTCTCGGATGAGAGGTGAAACGTGTTCAACTTAACACGACTTAAAGAAGTCCAGGTGTTTTTTTTCAAATGATCTTCTTATGGCCTCTGACAGTGGACTCATCTCTGTGCTTGTCCTGCTAGACCTCAGTGCAGCGTTCACCAGCCGGACATGTTGGGGGCGGTTGGTCAGGAAGTTCAGTAACCATTTGCAGATGAGGGAACTGATGCCATCTGTGTTTCCTGCTAGACCTCAGTGCAGCGTTCGATACTGTCGACCATAATATCCTATTAGAGCGATTAGAACATGCTGTAGGTATTACAGGTACTGCACTGCAGTGGTTTGTATCATATCTATCTAATAGACTCCAGTTTGTGCATGTAAATGGAGAGTCCTCTTCACACACTGAGGTTAATTATGGAGTTCCACAGGGTTCAGTGCTAGGACCAATTCTGTTTACATTATACATGCTTCCCTTAGGCAGCATCATTAGAAGACATAGCATACATTTACACTGCTATGCAGATGACACCCAGCTCTATCATTGGCAAAAGATAACACATTCACCAATGAATCTCGATTATTTGACGATATTTATTTAACAATAACAATGTGTTGAATAATGACTTTAAAGATTGTCAAA